TTCTATTGTTCTTTCTTTGGATGTGGATAATAGCATTTTCCATCACAAGGCCTCTGGAGATGTCTTAGATCCTTGTATTGCTGGGAAGAGTTAAGTTCATCACTATTAGTCATCGCACAACATGGCTGTTATTGTGTACAATGTTCTCTTGGTTCTGTTCACTTCACTCAGCATCAGACCATAAAGTCTTTCCAGGTTTTTGTGAAGTCAGCCTGTTCATTGTTTCTTATAGCACAATAGTATTCCATTACATTCATATACCACAACTTGCTCAGCCATTCCCCAATTAATGGGCATCCTCTCAATTTCCAATTCTTGGCCACCACAAAAAGAGCTGCTATGAATATTTTTGTGCATGTGGGTCCTTTTCCCTTTTGTATGATCTCTTTGGGATATAGCACTAGAAGTGCCATTGCTGGGTCAAAGGGTATGCACATTTTGATAGCTCTTTGGGCATAGTTCCAAACTGCTCTCCAAAAAGGTTGGATCATTTCACAACTCCACCAACAATGCATTAGTATTCCAATTTTCCCACATCTTCTCCAACATTTATTATTTTCCTGTTTTGTCATGTTGGCCAATCTGATTATGAGTGGAATATTTAAAAGGAGAATCACCATCCTTTGTAAGAGACAGAAGACAATGGAGGCATGGGAGAGAAGGCACAGACAGTGTGCAATTGTGTGTTGAGATGAGGTTAGGCACTCCTGGGGGGATATGAGAGGATTCCTGAGGGCTTTAGGGCAACCCTAGGAGGAGACACTGAGAGGACACCTGACCATGGGCCCTCTGGTGACTACTGCATGAAGGTATCATGCAACACATTCACCTGGATGGCCTGTGACAAAGTGAGAGCCAAGGTAGTGGGATGATTTCTCCTTACACTGGCACGTTGATATAGGGGTAATGATCCAAGTGCTTCTCTACAAATGTCTTTGAGCGTCTATGGAAAACCAGGTGTAGAAGAAGACTGGGTGGTGAGAGTTGGAAAATTTAGATCCTAATACAAGCAAGTGGTTATGAATTGCTCTTGCAAGTTTTAACCTGGTTACCTCTTATTTTTCTATTTCACTTCAGGAAATTCAATTCAATCTATATGTAAGTGAGTAATCTTCTGTGATCATGATAATGTGGGAAAGAGATTAAGATCTTCAAAGAAAAGGGGCTAGAGCCAATTGATAAAGGATGAATTATTGTTGGGAATTAATCATACCCTTAGATGAGAGACTGTAAAAGGCACTAACCAGGAAGGAAAAGTTAGGAGATAAAGACATGGTGGTCCTGATTTTGTACACGCCCAGTGAGCTGTTGGTCCAGAACTGAAAATGTTAGGAATGGTCACCCATGCACACCTGCTCCAACTGTTAGTTCAGGACTTATAGTGCCCTCCCTGGTGGCTTGTTCTAGTAAATCACCCCATGTAGTTATTCCAGCCTAGCTCTCCTCATGCCAATGTAAAGCAGATGTCCCTGTATAGGGAGGACATCTGTCTTATATATGGGAACCCTTACGCTTTTTATATGTAAAGTACTTCATAAATTTTAATGGGCTATATGAATGTCAGTCAATGAATAAGATTTAGTAAAAGACAAGCAAAAGGAAAAAACTAATTAAGTGTCAAACTTATGTATTTACTCATGCTGTTCTTCACATCTAGGATGTACTTTCCACTCTTTTATTTAACCAAATTACACTGATCTCAAGTACCATTTCCTCCATAAAATCTTCCTGGAAAACTCTAGCCCAAATGGACCTCTCCTCTTCCTATAGTACTTGTTCCCTGTCCAACATATTTGGGCACTTAATTAGATTTATAGTATTATTCTTTAACTGTTCATATAAGCAATAAGAGGTGTTTCCTTTCTATGGGAGCACCTGTTTTACATAGGAACTAGAGAGAAAAAGGCAAGTGGGTAAAAGGACATATATGTATATGCCTCTTAGGGAAGGAGAGAGAAAAGAACTACTCAGTGCAGTCTCTGTCTGAGTCACCAGATGGTACTCCAAACCCAAAATTACTGGCCAGAGTCCCTTTCAGTCCTTGTCTCATGTGAAGGCAGGATTTGCCTGTATTCCTTAGCTTTTCCCCTTCCTTTGAGGTCATATAAAGTACATGTTCTTTCTCAAACTGTGCATCTTCTTGTCCTTTCATTTCTTTGAATTATTGTTTTCCCCTTGTCCCAATGAAAGGATTTAAGGAGAAAAAGACTAACAGAGAGGTCTAGGTGCCTCTCTCCCTCACAAGGGATCTTGGTGAGCTCTCATTTGCAAAAGGGCAGGAGACACCAATAAAATAAAGAGATGCTATCTGTATGCTACAACATTCTCTTTTCATTTCCTGTCTTCCTATTGCAAATCCGGTCATTCAGAATTTCAACAGAGAGAAGGATATGCCAAGGTATCATATGTGAAGGCACGGCAACATAGCCCCACACCAACAGAAGCTATAGAGGCATGACAGCTTTCAAGCAAGCAAAGCAATCAGAGGTCAATGCAGTAAGCAGTCAGGTTTCTGATAATTACCAAGACTGCTGACTATTACTCATCCTGTTGTGCTAGTGAACTGGAAAAGCTGATTTCGTTATTAGTCAATGTATCTGAGATAGGGAGTAGAAGCCCTTCACTAACTTCCTTGCTTGACTTTGTTTTTAACCCATGATTCCAAGATGGGGAGCATAACCTCCCCCCTTCTATCCATATGCCTTTCATGAGCCATGAGAACATATGGCATGGATTCCCTCCAACTGTACCCAAATATCTGGCAACTATTCGGCACAGTGGACAGAGCACTTGTACATGGAGTCAAAAAGACCCAGAGTTCAGATATGGCCTTAGATACTTAATAGCTGTATGACCCTGGGTAAGCCACTTACTCAGTCTGCCTCAGTTTTCTCATCTGCAAAATAGAGACAATAATATCGCCTACCTTTCAGTGTTGTTTTAAGGATAAAATGAGATATTTGTAGATGCTCTGCAAACCTTAAAGTTCTATATAAATGCTAGCTATCATCATCATCATCATCATCATCTGGGAGGGCAATTAGAGGGCTAGGAGATGACTGGAGGCAAATGTCTGTATAGGACTGATATGAGGATTCAATGAGTCCACATGTGTAAAGTGCTTGCAAAATATGAAGCACTGCTATTGTTATATTCCTTTTCAATTTATTCAAAGAAATGATAGAATATGTGATCATGGAATGTTAAGTATCTGCATTCATGAATGCAGTGGGCAGTGACCTGGGAATTGAACCCAAACAGGGGTAGATTGGTTTCATATTTTAATATTTGGAGCAGTATTCTGTTTCGTTTCCTAGATTAACTTCAGATTCTGCCAGTGAGGGGTTAATTCAAACTGTTGATGGCAGTGTGGGAACTGCCTAAGTGTTTTTAGACTGACTGCTCCTGCAACCTTAGGAGAGATGGGGCTATTCTGGGTACGTGCCAGAGGAAAACTGAGGATGCTCAAGTGTAGCGCCACCTGTTGACCAATTCAAATTTTGCACTACTTAGATGGATAAATACTTCAATAATAAGCTTTTTGAGATGCTTAAAGAAGGCAGCAGTTGAGTCACACAACCAAAGGGCCCCCATGTGAAGAATATAAAGACTTTTTTAAAAGTCATTTTCTCAGTCTTGTCTTAATCCATTTGAGGTTTTCTTGGCAAAGATAGTGGAGTGGTTTGCCATTTTCTGCTCCCCCTCATTTTATAGATGAGGAAACTAAGGCAAAAAGGGTAAAGTGACTTGCCCAGGGTCACACAGCTAGTAAGTGTCTGAGGGTGGATTTGAATTCAGGTCTTCCTGACTCCAGACCTGGCATTCTATCTACTTTGCCACCTAGTTGCCCCTATAAAGACTTAATTAACAATTAATATTTTATCAAATGGCTCTTTCATGCCCTTATTCCTATAGTATTCCTAGCTCTTCCCCCCAGCTTCCTATAAACCAAAAAAGTATTACTCACACATGTAGATCAATTAAACTCTTTACTAAATGAATTTGAAAATAGCAAAGTATAAGTTTAAATGGGGCTCTGATGCTATAGCAATCCATATTACTTCTCCTCCTACCCTCTTCTAATCTTCTGACTCTATTAGGTGAAAGAGAGTTAAGCCCACAGACTTTGGTTGAAAAACACTCCTGAAATCAAAGTCACAAAATGGGAAAATGGAATCATATCATCACCAGGAAGGTGAGGAGTAGGGTGACTTCTATTCATGATGACACTCACTGCTGGGCCAATTGCTAAGGGAAATGTGCAGTCTGATGAGCAGCAAGATGGTTCCCAGAGGTTCTAAGGTCAGAAGAAATACTCTTCCAGAAGCCACTGACCAAACACACAAGCTCACTGTCCGTGCTTTCTCTGGTGCATCCAACGTGTTTCTGTCTGGCCTCCTCTGATAACTCCTGGTTTATTTTCCGAAAAAAAGCAAGCCACTATCTTCATTTTAGAACATCTAGGTGAAGCTCTCTATTAAATGATTTTAGGTAACTCTGACTAAGTTAATCCCCCTAGGCTACACAGGTCAAAACACTGTCCAACCTTTTGGTGTCTTCAGGATAGAAACAGTCCAGGAAAATGAAATAGCAACAAAACCTGAACATAACCAAGTAGGTAATATATATGTAAGTCTTTACCTCCCAATGGGGCTGTAAGCAGCTTGAGGGGGAAGCATTATGCCCCACACTTCTTTTGAATCACCTATAATGCTTAGCACAGCACTATGCACATAGAAGATTATTCAATAAATAATAAATAATAAATACTTGTGATGATGGGAGGGAAAAAAGGAAGGGAAAGAAAGCACTTATTTGACCTTTAAAATCCTTGTTATGTTTGCTTCAGCTGTCCTTAATTCCCTAATCCCACATATTCTCAAAAGCCAAATAATGTCCCCCACTAGTTACTATATAAGGCAGCACTGAAATGCAACCCTATCCCTACCCCCCCAGCTCCCAAACGCAGATTTACTTCCAACTCCATGCCTTACACTTACTTGAAAAAGAGTTCTTCCAGACTGTTCCGAGGTACCAGACTGGTACGGTCCAGGGTAAAAGACAGGAAGTGGTTCTGAGACAAAAACACAGCCTCACCTGGATGAAGGGTTGGGATCATATATAACTTCACACAGAATTTCTTCACCAGCAGCCTAGGAAGCCAATGAAACAGAAAACCAAGAAAGAAACTATCATTAAAAACAAACAAACAAACCCCTAGCATTCACGGGATGGTTTTCATCAATGTTATAGCATGTATCTCTCCTACCTGTGCTCATGTGTAAGCATTCCATATTCATCCTGAGGTTTCTCCGGAGAAGCAAGGCTAGGGTCACCTGCAGGGTCACTTCCCAGAAGTGGCTTTTCCCACTCATCTCTCCCCAGGTTCTGTTTCCTACAGAGCGGACAGACAAAAGCCATGCAATAATTGTTAGAGGCTGCTTCCTGGGCAACTACTGTTAGTGCCAGGTAGGCAGGAGCCATGGTAGAATCCACAGCTCACATTCCTTTTTGGTGTAGACACTACTGCTCTTTCAGGAGTATCCCAAAACTAATCCCTAAAGTGACTTTCTAGGAGAGTAGGGCTCACTAGAGTTTTTACCAAAGCACTATCAAATATGACTAAGCATCATGGCCCCCAACATTTACTCACTCATTCAATAAATACTTATGAGGCACTTATTGAACATTATATATTATATACAAGAGAGGCAGGACAGCCTGGTGGATAGAGTGCTGGGCCTAGAATCAGGAAGACCAGGATACAAATCCCACCTCTGACACCAGCTCTATGACCATGTTCAAGTCACTTAACCTCTTGATGTCTTAGGCAACTCTCTAAGACATCCACTAAATTACAGATGAAATAGACTTTAGTGAAGGGACTCCCCATACCCACAAACCCCCAAATAATCTGACATTTATACATGGTATTGCTCTAGATAATATGGCAGATATAAAGAAGCATAAGATAAAACTCAATTTAACAAGCACTTATTTGAACAAGGTACTAGGAATACAAAAACAAAAATGAAAGAATTGATATTCTATTGGGGTTTGGAGTAGGGAAGTTTGGGGTAGGGAGGGAGGATAACATGCATACAACTAAGTAAATAAAAATACATATACAAAGCAATTTCCTGGAGCACGGGGAGTGAAACCACTAGAATTTTGGGAGAGGGAGGAATCAAAAGAGTGTTTGTATAGGAGACAGACTACGGCTTGAAACTTGAGTTGGGGATTTCAAGAGGTGAAAGTGAAAAGCATTGCAAGGAAGCATTTCAGGCAGGAAGGATAGATTGTACAAAGTCATTGGGGCAGGAAATGAAAAGGCATGCATGGGGAACAAGTAGGCCAGTTTAACTAGAAGTTATTGTTGTGGTTGAGTTGGTTCAATCACGTCCAACTCTTTGTGACCCCGGTTTTTGGGCAAAGATACTGGAGTGGTTTGCCATTTCCTTCTCCAATTCATTTGACAGATGAGGAAACTGAGGCAAACAGGGTTAAATGACTTGCCAAGGTCACACAGCCAGCTAAGTGTCTGAGGCCGGATTTGAACTCATGAAGAGGAGTCTTCCTGACTCCAGGCCCAGCACTCTAGCCACTTTGTATGAATGGAAGTAATATAAATTCAATCTGGGAGGTGGGATGGAGACAGAGCATAAGCTTTAAATGCTAAACAGAGACATTTGGATTTTATCCTATAGGTATAAGGAACCAATGAAGATTCTTTTGTTGTTGCTGCTTTATTTTGGTTTTTTGGTTGTTTTGTTTTTGTTTTGTTTTTTGGTAGGCAATGGGTTTAAGTGACTTGCCCAGGGTCACACAGCTAGTAAGTGTCAAGTATCTGAGGCTGGATTTGAACTCAGGTCCTCCTGAGGGCCCGTGCTCTACCATTTCATCACCTAGCTGCCTCAACCAGTGAAGATTCTTAAAGAAAGAAATGACATGGTCAGATCTGTGCTTTAGGAATATCAGTTTGGCATTGATGTCAGTTTATGGTTTAGACAGGGGAGAGACTGGAGACAAGGAGGCCAATTAGAAGGCTAATGCAATAGTTCAGGACAAGTAAATATAAAGTAAAGTAAAGGGCCTGAATTAGCATGGTCACCTAGAATTGCGAGATAAGAGCAAAGCTAAGCGTAAAGGATGAAGGTGCAAGCCTGGGTGACTGAAAAATATGGACATGATCCCAGCCCTCAAAGAGCTTGCAATACAATCAGAGGGACCAGTCATAGAGAAATAACAGTTAAGTAACTATACAAGGCAGTATGTGATTAAGCACCAAACGACTGGGTACAGATAATATGCTATAGGAACGCAGAGGAAGGAGAGATCCCTGTGGCATGGCTTGATGAGGGAAGGAAAAGGCAGAGGAAGGAGGAAGGTATTCAAATCAGGGAGCATCACAAGGCAAAGATGCAGAGGTGAGAATAAATAAGGTGCATTTATCAGCTCATTGTATGTATGACAGGAGGTTCACTTTAGGGTTCATACTATAGGAGGTTCACTTTGAGGAATAATGATAGTACACCCAGGGAAGAAAAGTGCTGCAAAAAGAGGGTCTGGTGATTTTAATGTCTGTTCAGCAATGGCCTTAGAAGCTTTCACCAGGCAGACGGAATCTGACTTTTCACAGGCTGATTTTCGTGATACCACAGCAGCAAGGGGTAGTGTAACGATCAGTAGTAAAGTAATGAAACCGATAGAAACAAAAAATAGGACAAAACACACTTAAGGATTTAGCCCAAAAAAAAGATGTGTAAGAGCACAAAAGCCTAAAGGAGGGAGATGGAAAAGCACTACTTTGATACCTTTCTTCTTTGTTTTGGTTATTTATCTGTTAGATATGTCTGTTATTAGTCAGAATTTATCGAGTACTTACAGTAGGTTGTGAGAAAATTTCCAACATGCTTTACTTCTCCATCCTCCAGATTCACTTTGGGGATATCTAACTCCATGAATTAGCACAGATGAGTAATCAGGCACATATCCACTTTGGGTACGTGGGGACTTTATTTCATCAACAACATTTTTTAAAAGAGTTTCTCAGTGTACCCTTCAAAGGAAAGGCCCATCCCAGGAAACTGTTCTAGGTTTAATGCTTCACAATAATGAAAGTTTAGTGATAGTTCCCATCACATATACAAAGAGCTTTGTAAACCACAAAGTGTGTGTGTGTACATATGTATATACACACATATATGTATACGTGTATATTAATATATATATGCAGATACATGCATGTGATTTATTTTTATTCTTATTATTACTTACTTCTTCTCCTGTAGCAAGTAATATAAACTATTGACATATCCATCTGGAATCCTGGAGTCAAGCTGGAGAAAAAGTTAGCAAGAAATAGAGAGAGAGAGAGAGAGAAAAGTAATATAAGACGTCAGTCCAAGTGAATGGCCCTCAAATGCAAAGGGACATTTTCCAGAGCTAGAAGATCCTGAAGAGAATGATGAAAGCTCTAACAAGCAGTTTTCCTAAAAGGTATAACCAGTTTTTCTAAAACTTATTAGCTTTTGTGGGGGTTTTGTGTTTTTGTTTTTCACTCATTAACACCAATTTGGCTGACATTTTTTTTCAGATTAGTTCTATATTCAATTAATCAGGGTTACTCTGGATTCTTGGGACCTAACTCGGTACAAGACATATCCCCCATATTCGATGCCCTACAATAAGGTTTCCTGGTACAAATATTTTTTTTTTGCTTCATGTCCCTGTTTCCCTAAAATTCTTCCTCCAATTCACAAGCTCTAATCTTGGAGTCCAAAATTCAGAAACTGGGGCCTCAGAACCAAACTTTCAAAGAATCAAAGCACAAAAAGTCTCTTGTGGGGCACAGTCTATAAAACCCATCCAGGGCACACCATATACCTAGTACACAGCTATAAAAGACTCCAAACTGAAAATGAGTTTGTGTTTCTATATGAGGCCCTTGAATCACAGCCAAATCAAGGAATTATAGGATAAAATCAAGAAAGGAATTTTAGTAAACATATGAATGTGTAATGCCTTGCCATGAGATCTAGGGAACTATAAAACTGACCCATGCAGATAACCCTGGAGGCTGAAGAGAGGGGTCCTCTATGCTTTCTGAGTCATGGGGCTCAAATGCTGGTGTTGCCATCTGCCAACCAGGGCCTGCCATGTTTTGGAACAGCTCCTCCAATGTCACCAATGCTTCCTCAGGGTCAGAGTCAAGCTGCAGGGCCTCCTCACTCAGATTATCTGAGGATTCTGAAAGGCAGCTGCCAGAATGGATTTGGAATGGGGTTTCCTGAGAGTATGATAAAGCCTCGTGGTTCTCAGGCTCTTCAATTTTTGTCTTTGGAGACAGACTCAACTCTGTGGATTCTACCACCTTGGCGATTTCTCTGTCCTGCTCCAAAGTTGCCTCCAGCTCTTCCATATCAAAGGCTACACCGTCCTCAGTATTATTCTCTAAGGCTTGTGGGAGGTTTGGGGGTGGTGAGGGACTAGGGTTGGGGGGCTTTTGGTACAGGAATTCAATTGGCGGAGGGCTCCAGTCTATAGGAAATAAGTCACCAGACCCCTCATCAGTCAAGGGAAAGGTGCTGGTATTCCTTGAGGGGCTGGGCCAGGTGGGTTGTGAGGCCTGCTGGGAATGTTCATCTAAGGCACTAGGGGTGTCCATCTTCAGTTTCTTGTGGTGATCCTGGGTCCCATCAGAAATTGGATTGTCCTGGCCCCAAGACTGATGGAAAAGGCACTGTGTCAGTAAGCCACCATAGAATCCATGTTGCTCATCAGGCAATTGACTAGATGAAGCTCTTGGATTTGACTGGGAAGCTTTAAGACAAAAGATAAGAATCATAAAAGCTGACATAGAACCAAGGCACAGTGAACACTTTTGATTATATGCAAAACATTTCTGCTGTTCTATAACAAATAAGGATTCAATATTTCAATTTAACAACTATTTATTAAAGGGGACAGCTAAGTGGTGCAGTGGATAGAGCACTGGCCCTGGAGTCAAGAGGACCTAACTTCAAATTTGGCCTCAGACACATAATACTCACTAGCCATGTGACTCTGGGCAAGTCACTTAACCCCAATTGCCTCACCAAAAAAAAAAAAAAAAAGAAGTTCTTAAACTTGTAGCTTTTGCACATAGAAGAAAATAAAAGAGAAGAAATTACCAATAGAATAAGCAATTAATATGTAAAGAAAACAAAACGAAACAAAAAAAAGGTTCTCTACTCCACTAATTACTAAATACTCCTCAGGGAATCCATTAACACTTTACACAGATGAGAAATGAATACCTCGACTTTGGGTCCTGGATGTCTCTAAATCCGCAACAGACGCTGTTGCCTTAGTTCCGAATTCATTCTAAAACAGTATTCATTCCTTTAAAGTCGGTAACCTATCAAGGATTGTAACTAATCCCATACAGCAAATGAAAGAAATAAAGAAATGACGTATTACCTTCCTGGTGAGGAGTAGCTGTCCTGCTCTTTCGACCTCTAGGTGTCCTTGAACCCTTAGTGGTTTTATCCTGAAAGAAATTTATTGTTAAGTGAAATTCAGGAAAATAGAATACCTTAATGAGTTCATATTCTTTTATTTTTCTTTTTTTTGTTTTTTGGTGAGGCTTTCAGGCTTAAGTGACTTGCCCAGGATCACACAGTGAGTCAAGTGTCTCAGGCCAGATCTGAACTCAGGTTGTCCTGACTCCAAGGCCGGAGCTCCACTCACTGTGCCATCTAGCTGCCCCTGCCCCTATTCTTCTGTGAAGAGGAATCTGTTTCCTTTGTCCCCATCAAGGAATTTCTTCTCTAGTGTTTCAATTCAAGTTAATTAACTATCCAACCTGGGGCAGCTAGGTGGCACAGTGGATAAAGCACCGGTCCTGAAGTCAGGAGGATCTGAGTTCAAATCCAGTCTCAGACCAAACATTTGACACTAGCTGTGTGACCCTGGGCAAATCACTTAACCCCAATTGCCTAAAAAATTAATTAATTAATTGATTGATTAATATCCAACCACTGCAAAGACAGGGTCAGGTTAATAAGGAGAATCAATTTTGGTGTCTCCAGGAAGAAAAAAAAAAGCACCTGAGGTAAAGTGTCCCATGTCACTCAATAAGACAATGATAGAACAAGGAACAAATACAAGAATCTTCTTAACTCTCAACTCCACACACACACACTCTTGCTACCTCCCAGGGAAGTGTTCCTTAGAGAGAAAGGTGACAGAGAAATGCTTATTCCTTTCACTCACCCTTGCCCTGTCACCATCTTGGAATTGTTTCTGGGTAGTAGCAGGGACAGAAAAACAAGAGAATGGCTTTCCAACCTTCATCTTCTTCAGCTCCCGTAATTGCTGGTACTCCATCAGACTTGACTGAAATCTATTACTAAAGAGTCCTGAGACAGGCTTCCAGTGGGAAGAGAGTGGGATTTGATACCAGCGCCTCTTTTCTCCCCTCTCTGAAGAAGGAACCAGTCCTTTGCTTGATGGTCTCCTCTTTGGATGATGACTGAGTTCTTGATGAGTAGAACCCAATCTTTTTGCTACTTGGAGGCTATTGGTAGCCTTCAGTTTCTTTCTTGAGGTAGGCTGGACAGCCTCCAAAGGCCCTGCTGACCTCTCTGATGGATCAGCCATCTTGTTCAGGGATTTGGGCATGGGGTATATCCTCAAATGAGGAACCTAAACTGCCTGTTTGTTCTGAGGAAGGAGAAATCAACTCTAGCTCCCTGGTTGGAGGCCAGAGACTGACATCCAAGCAGAGACAGAAACTCAGAATCTATTTAGTGGTAAGAACCAAATAAACCAGTTTCTGCTCAAAAGCCAATGCCTTTGTCTTATGGGCTCTCTCACTACAGGATGGAGAACATCGTCTTCTTTACCTCCTGCAAGGATGGAGAAGAACATAACATTTGCCCAATCCTTTTCAACTAAGAGATTCAGTCCTTTTCATAGTGTACTAGAAGAGTAAGACGTTCTTCATTCAATGCAGGTGCAAATCACTATAAAAAGCAAGAAAAGATGTCTTGCCTAAATAAATTAGGTTTATGGCAGACTTGTGAATGGCGTCCAGAAACCCCGATTTCTCATCACAAATTCAAAGATGGCAGGAACCTCAGAGGCCATCTGTTCTCACCTGTATGTGACCAATAATTCACTCTGCAGCATCTGAGACCTCAAATGAAAGGGGAAGTTTTGTAAACAAACAAACAAGCTTCCACCCATTGCTTCTGATCTTACCTCTGGGGTCAAGCAGAACAAGTGTGTCCCACTGGAGGAAGGCTCTACTTAGAGATTTGAGGTATGACCAGAATTCACTTCAAGTAGAATAATTCCTTCCTAAAGATGCCAAAAATAAATCATTCAAACACAGGGACAATCAAGCTCCAGAATACTTATCTAATACTTATCTGTGTTTTGAGGTGAGCTAATACTCTTGTAAATCCAAAGAGCAGGGCACTGTAACTTAGTACAAAAGAAATGAAGCCCTGAGGCTCAGCCATTTGGACAACCTATTTAGCCTTTTTTGGCTGGAGTTTTTATTATAGGGTCAACCCTGCGGGGAAGCCTGGCAATATGCTTGTGTTCAGAGATCCTTCAACATGATGAGCTCTGTGGAGAAATTTGTACACCAAGTTGATTAGGACTTTGGTGGGCTTTGGACATCCGTGTGCTAACAGCTGAGCAGCTGCCTGTCTTTGATGCAGGTTGCTATATTTTGGCTCCACACACTAAAAGAAAATAACTGCTGCTCTCACTCGGAGACTTTTGAGGCTGGAGTCGCCTAGCATTGATAGGCCCAACTAAACCACACCACAAATCTAATCCCTTTTCCACATGACCTTCAAATATTTGAACACAGTGATCGTATTTCTGATTTTCCCCCAAGGCCTTCTCTTCTCCAGGCTAAACATCTCTAGTTCCTTCAACCAGTCTTCTTGTGGTAAGGCTTACTGCTCCCTTTTAAGGCTTACTGCTCCCTTGTTCGCCTTCCTGTGGATGCTCTCCAGATTATCAATGTCCTTCCTAAAATGTGGAGACCAGAACTGAACAAAATACTTCACATGCGGACTGATCAGGGCAGAGTACTGTGGGACCATCAGCTTCCTTGGTCTTCACATTGTGCCTCTCAATGCAGGCTAAGACTATTTTGTATGCCATATCATACTGTTGATCCATATTGAGCTTACAAAAACACTAAAACTTCCATATTTTTTCCAAATTAACTGCTAGCCATACCTTCCTCAAATGTAGGATTTTAAATTTATCCCTGTATTAAGTTTCATTTTAGATTCAGAATAATGTTCTAGTCTGCTGATGATAACTTTTTAAGGTTCTGATTCTGTCAACCATTCTATTGGTTCTCCCTCTTAACTCTGTGTCATCTGTAAATCTGATAAGCATGCAGCCTGGATCCAAGTAACTGATAAAAATGTGAGGCTGGTAGAGAACCAAGAACAGATCTCTGAAGCGCTAGAATACTCCTTCCAAAATGAACCCATACAGTGACTAGACCTTCCTCTGGAGCACACCACTTTGGGAGCACTGGAAGCTTGAGGGTCCCCAGATGGATCTTGAAAGCCACAGAAGGATGTAAGAGGATAGAAGGCCAGGCCAGACATTCCCTCCCCCACAGAAGTGGAGCCCAACATTAAGTCCAAAATCAAGAAATAGACAAGGAGAATGACCAAACAAACAAAGAATTTGACAACAAAGAGGTATTATGGTGAGAGGGAAGCTCAAGACTCAAACACAAAAGAAGAGAATGACTCAAAAACATCTATAAGCAAAGCCTCAAAGAAAAATGCAACTGGGACATGAGTCCAATAAGAATTTATATAAAAGTTAGAGCAAAAATTAAAAAAGGAACTAAAACAATTATTTTAAAAACCAATTGAGAATTGTACAGGAAAGCATGAGAAAAAAAGGAAAGAGCTAGGGAAAAAAGAAAGATAAGAAAAAAAGAATAGAAAAAGAGATACAAAAACTTACTGAAGAAAATAACTTCTTGAAAATTAGAATTAGCCAAATAAAAGTTAATGACTCCATGAGACATCAAGAAATAATAAAATAAAGTCAAAAGATGAAAAAAAAAAGTAAAATAGCTCATCAGAAAAACAAGTGACCTGGAAAACAGATCAAAGGGAAATAATTTAAGAATCATTGAACAATCTGAAGGCCATGAACAAAAAAGAACTTAGATATCATATTTCAAGAAATCTTAAATTAAAACTGCTCAGATATCTCAGAACCAGGAGGCAAAGTAGAAATTAAAATGATCTACCAGTCACACTGTGAAAGACACCCCAAAATGAATACTTCCAGGAATATTGTAGTAAAAATCCAGAGCTGCCAGGTCAAAGAAAAAAATACTACAGGTAGTTGGAAAAAAGAATTCAAGTACCAAGGAGCCACAGTCAACATCATACAATATTTAGCAGCCACCACAATAAAGGAGTCTCCAGAGAACTTGGAATATGATATTCCAGAAGGCAAAGGATCGAGGCTTACAACCAAGAATAACCTATCCAGCAAAGCTGAGTATAATCCTATAAGGAGAAAAAATGGATTTTTAACAAAATAGAAAATTTCCAAGCATTCCTGGCAAAAAGACCAGAGATGTGTAGAAAATCTGATACATAAACATAGGAGTCAAGAGAACTAGTGATCTCTTAGTTGCCAAATCCAATGGCCTTTTCTTAATTCTCTTTCTTCTTGACCTCACTACAGTCTTTGACATTACTGATCACTGTCTCCTCTTTTCTTGGTCTTTGGGTCACCACTCTCAAGGTAAACATTAGTGAAAATCATAGGGGACTAAATAATATTAAAATATTTACATGCTTATATGGGGAGATGATACATGTAGCCCCTCAAAATTTTATCATCGCTGGAAGTCATAGAGGGAGTCTAATAGATAGAGGGCTTGGGTATGATTCTATTGTGTTTAGATGATCTCAAAAGAAGAATGGAATGGGAGTTGGTGGGAGGGAGAAAAACAACGGGAGTAATTATCTCACATAAATGGGGTGAGTAAAGAGGAGTTCCTACAAGAAGGAGGGCATAGTCAGGGGAGGGGACAGACAACACTTGAACCTCACTCTCATCTGAACTTATTAAAAGAGGAAAGAATACATGCACACATAAGGGAAAGGGCAGTGGTGGGGCCAATAAGAGAAAGGGTAGTTTAAGGAAAGTATTAGTCAGAAGTAAAACAAACTCTTAAAGAGGAGACAGGGGAAAAGAAGAAAAGGATAAGTATAAGAATTAGAATGGAAGAAAATACACAGTTAGTAATCATAACTATGAATGTGAATAGGAATAACTCATCCATAAAATGGAATAGGATAGAAGAAAGGATTAGAAACCACAATCCAACAATACGTTGGGTTATTTTTGTTCTTTTTAAAAATTATTTATTTTTAATGTTCTTTTACAAAATATTTTGAGTTCCAAATTCTGTCCTTCCCTTCTCCATTCATTTAGAAGGCAAATAATACATTAATTATAATGTGAAATCATGCAGAAACATATTTCCAGATTAGCCATGTTGAATAAAACAAGAAAAATAAAGTGAAAAAAGTATACTTCAATTTGCACTAAGAGTTCATCAGTTCTCTCTCTGGAGGTGGATAGCATTTTTCATCATGAGTCCTTTGTGACTGTCTTGGATCACTGTATTGATCAGAGTAGCTAAGTCGTTCACTGTTGATCATTGTTTCAATATTGCTGTTACAGCGTACATTGATCTCTTGCTAACAATATATTGTTTACAAGAAACATACAGAAACAGAAAGATACACACAGAGTTAAAATAAGGGGCTGGAGCAGAATCTACTATACTTCCGCTGAAATAAGAAGGCAGGGGGAGCAATTACGATCTCAGACAAATCAAAATTAAAAAAATAGACCTAATTAAAAGAGATAGGCAGGAACACTACATTTTACTAAAAGGTACGATAGACAATTAATTAACACCAATGCAAAACATAAATGCACCTTGACTATAGATATATAACCTATGTCAAATTGCTTGCCTTCTTAATGGAGGGGAGGAGGAGGGAGGGAAATAATTTGGAATTCAAAATTTGAAAAAAAAAAAGAATGTTTAAATTGTTTTTACATACAATTGGGGAAAAAAACAAAATATTAAATAAGATTTTTAAAAAAATATATGCATCTAATGGCATAGCATCTAAATTCTTAAAGGAAAAGTTAAATGAATTATGAGAAGAATTAGATGGTAAAACTATAATAGTGAGGGGCCTCAATTTATCCCTCTCAGACTTGGATAAATCAAAGCAAAAAATAAACAACAAAGAAATTAAAGAGTTGAATAGAATTTTAGAAAAGTTAGCTACGATAACTCTCTGGAGAATATTGAATGGGAGTAGAAAACAGAATATTTATTTCTCAGCAGTGCATGTTACAATCACAAAAACTGACCATGTATTAAGGCATAAGAACTTTACAGACAAATGCAAAAAAGAAGAAATATGAAATATACCTTTTACTAACCA